CAGCCTGGCCACGGGTGAGCCGTGGGGGTGGGGCGGGGTGTCTGGGGGGTGGGGACAGTGACTCTCTCGTGGGGGTGTGCTGCAAGGACCATCCTGCCCTGGTCCTGGAGGGGCCACCCAGGGAGGGGAAGGGGGTGGTCCTTGCAGGGTGCTGCAGCACTGTTCCTTCCCCAGAGCTGTGCCGGATCAACGAGGACCAGAAGGTCGCGCTGGACCTGGACCCATACGTGAAGAAGCTGCTGAACGCGCGGCGCCGCGTCGTGCTGGTCAACAACATCCTGCAGAACGCACAGGTAGGTGCGGGACTGGCTGCCAGGCCTCTCTGGGCAGGGCTTGGGATTAAGGTGCCAGAGAGGGACTCCCTCCTGCTGAGGGCTGGGCTGCTCTGCTCCCTTGGTGCTGCTGACAGGGCTCAGGACAATAGCTGGCATTTGCACCCCTGGGTGAATCCCCCGCAGCGGCAGGGGAACTCTAGCGGTTGTGGCTTCCCCCGGAGAGGGTAGTGCGGGAAGATGGAACTGAAGAGTTCTCTCCTGCCTGAACAGCGCTGGCGCTGTTGGCATCCTGGGCACCGTACATGCGCCTGCCTTGCCCCAAGCTCGGTCAGTCTCTGCCAGGCCAACAGCCTCAGCACGCCCCTGTGTGAGTCAGCTTCCAGAGCTGTCTCTGCTCTGCCAGGCAGCCCTTGCGGGGTCAGGCTTACAGCCCGTGTAGTTCTGCCTGCCCTGATGACAATGCTCTCACCTGCAGGAGCGGCTACGGAGACTCAATCACAGCGTAGCCAAGGAGACGGCGCGCAGGAAGGCCATGCTGGAGTCGGGGGGCTACCCGCAGGGCTCCCCCAGCAAGTGATGCTGCTGGGCCCAGGCTGCCGTGCTGGACTGAGTGGATTGCAGTGGGACCTCCAGCTCATACTAACTGCCCCAAGGGCTGGTTCAGGCCCACAGACCAATGGCTGAGGAGAGTTGGCTCCCTACAGCTCCTGCTGACATTAGTGCCAAGGATACCTGGGCCAGCAGCAGGCAGCTGCCTGCTCTGGGGCTTGCCCGCGTGGAGGGAAGGGGAGGTGGTTCTGCGTACCTGCCCCCTGGGCCAGCCAAGACAGCACACACTAACCCCAGCTCCATGTACTGCACCGCTAGGCTACAGGTGGCACAATAAAGTGACCCCCCCCCGCTTGCAAACGCTGAGTGAATAGTGCCCTGCCTGCGCCCGCACAGCCTCAGGGGCTGGCTGTCCCTGTAGCAGCACCCACCACTGCAAGACCACGTGGCCCCCAGGTCCGCTTCCCCCACAAGTGGCTGCACCCATGTCACAACCCCAGGCTCCTCTAGAAAGGACTGCACACCCCGCTCCAAGTCAGCCACAGGGGCCTGAGGCCAGACCCCCAACCCCTGGCTCCTGGAACACAGAACTGTTCCAGGGCCTGCTCCTGCACCCAGACGTCAGAGCCACATAAAAGGGCAGAACTTTTTAATGTTAAACTATAAAAACCACAACAAAATACAAGTGTTGGCTGAGGTGGGGTGATGTGGTGGGATCCGATGCTCACTGCAGGGGAGGACAGCCTGGCCTCTGTTCCTGTCCACAGGCTGGACGTACCCTGCAAGAGAAGCAGGCAAGTGCCCATCAGGGGAGTTGCAGGGCAGGCTGGTAGCCTCCCGCTGCAGGAGGGAGGTGGTGGCTTGGAGGGGATGGGGCCGTCCTGGAGCTGGTGGAAGCCCAGCCACAGCCCCAAGGGACATCTCCCTCACCCCAGCACAGGACTGAAACCAGGTTACCGAGTCTGGCTTTGCCCCCAGGACGAGAGGAACTGCAGTGGAAATGGGGTGGGTATCTAATGCTTCCATGTACAGTGGCCTGGGGGGCCATGGGAGGGAAAGCTCTGTACCCAGCACCTCCATGACAAGGCTGCACTGCACCCGTGCTTCAGTCAGGCTTTACCTGGACGGTTCATTCTTGAGTCTCCATGCTTTCCTCCTCTTCTCCTGCTGCTGTCTCTTCTTGATTCTCCTCTTCCTCTTCTCCTTCCTTCTTCTCCGGGGGCTTCTCATATGCCTTCTCAGAAGGCGTCACTATCACGCCATCCCAAGTGGACATTTCCGAAGCCAGGTCTACAAACAGAAGCAGCATCAGCAGGTGGTGACCCACCAGCATGGCCCCCATTGCCACGTGCATCCTCACAGCATTCACCAGAACAGGGAACTAACAAGCACTGCCAGGAAGGAAAATAGAAGGGCATAACCTACAGAACCAGGCTTCACTCCTGCTGGCAGGGCTCGCAAGGAGGAAGCTGAGACGGCCCCCGAGCCAGCCACACATGCTCTGGGCAGCAAGCTTTTTTGTGCCTGCCCACTTCCTTCCTGCCTCAGTGGCCAGCTCTTGAGTCACAAGGCAGCATTTACTGCAGAGCAGCAGCCTGCACCTAGCAGGAAACTTGTACTGATCCCTGGCTGCTTGCTCAGCCTCCTGGCTTGGCCCATCGGGGACGGCCTCTTCCGCCGCATGCTTGTGTTGAGCCTCTAGCCACAAACCCTTTGCGTGGAAGGGCTCATTTCTCCATCAGTCTAGTAACGGAGCAGCGTGCTATTCTCCCCACCCCCCAAAAAACAGGGTGTGATACTCCCAGCAACAGCCCTCAGGGTCCCTGGCACACATTGGTCCTGCCGATCAGCAGTCATGACACACTAACTTACAGCTGGCATCACCCTCCTGTCCCAGGATCTTCCTGTAGCCTCCATGCGAGAGGATCCGGACGAGCGTCTGTGCAGTGTAACACACCATGTCCTATGAGGGGTAAGTGGGAGAATCTGTGTGCTAGAGTCCGCGCACTGGTCTGGGACAGGTCTCACGCAGTGTCACGGTCAGAGGCTGTGCTGCCCCAGATGTGTGTGTGGCCAAGACTTTAACCCATCCTGCAGAGGGTGGGTCTGCTCCAGCCCCGGGAGGAGGCAGTAGCCCTCTAGCACTCTCTTCAGTAGACTAGTTCGTGAATCAGGAATGAGGGGCTGTGGAAATTTCTTATTCCAAGGCAGTGGGTTCCACCAGTTCCTGCCCCATCCCAGCAATCAAAGCACCCTCCTCCGAACCAACTACAGCAAAGGGTGCTCAAGCCCTTGCGCCACTTCAGCTAAACTAGCCAAGAGGCCATCTAAGGCACCAGGTGTGTTTCATACTGTAAATACATCCCCTTCCCCAAAGCCCCAGCAACTCCTAGTCTGTAAGAGAGGCAGGGTACAGACTGGGGTCTAGGCAGTTTTGTAGGGGTGCAGCACTAGCGACCTGCATTGACCCTCCCCATACTGCTGCAGGGGGACTGCACAGGCACAGGCTTTCCTCACCTGCTGTTCAAGGGTCATGACCGTGTGGACTCTGAAGTTCCCACTCTCACAGGGGTCAGTGATTCCGACAGAGCCGGGGAGGAAGAGCCCAGCAGCCAGGATCTGAAGGCAGCGCCTACAGGACAATTAGAGATTAACAACAAGCGGGTCCATTTTAGACACCACACAACCCCATATATTGGCTCGGTGATACAAGTCCACTCTGCTGCCCCAGCAAGTCACTGTCATGTTTGGTCCCTGCGTTGGGAACTTGGGCGAGGGTAGCAGCTAGCTAGAAGCATCTGCTTTGGCAAGTAAATGTGTCAAAAGGCTCTGAGTTCTCTCAGCCTGGAGTATGCTCAAGGTGGGAAACTCAGAGCTCTGAGCAAATCCAAAGGAAAGTTTTGGTTTCTGCAAGGTACTGTGCTGTAGCTGCCATACCTGTAAGCCACATTGAGAGCCAGGGGCTGCCTGGTGGGATTGTTCATCACAGCGTAGTGCCCCTGCGGGAAAGGGGAGAAGAACGTGGTTAGATACAAGGCTTTAATTTTAGGAAAGGACAAGTTTAAGCCTCCACAATCCTGTGGTGGCAGAAGTTATACATCCCAGGGTTTATTCCAGACCGGGGCTGTGTCTTTCAGACTGGAGGAATGGACACCGGAGCACGTTCTCTCCATATCCTCCACAGAATGGAAGCGCACCCCATGCTTGGCTGCACTGGCCAGGGAAGCCCAATCAGGTGTCAATCAGACACCTATCAGCACGCTAGTCCCCTCTTCTGCACACGTACCAGCAGGTCGAGGATCCATGGAGTGAGGGGCTCGAAACCAGGGAAGCGAATTCTCAAATCCTTCAACAGTCGAATCAAGACTTTCACGCTGGAAGAAGTTTTATAAGGACAATGTTTAGAGGCTGAACAGGACTGACATGGCTGCCAGAGCATGTTCTAGTGCACTAGGAATGACCTTGCTTTTGGGGCTGGAGTGAAGACATCTCCTGATGAAGCAAGTCAAAGGGGGCTGTGTAATCACCTCCCAGAGAACCAGCAGCTCGTTTCCCACCAGCCACCCCACAAATGAACAAGAGCTGACCCTGTAGGACCACACCACTCAAGCAGCAATAAGCTCCAAGTAAGTGTGTGAAAGAACCAGACAAGTGAGAAGTCAACAGTGCTTGTGAGGCACAGCAGCCCAGTATTTCATAGATTTCATAGACATTAGGGCAGAAAGGGACCTTCGGAAGATCTTTGAGTCCAGCCCCCAGCCCCAGGGGCAGGAAGTCAGCTGTGGTCACAGGATCCCAGCAAGATAAACATCCAAATGTCTCTTGAAGGTGTTCAAAGTAGGCGCTTGAACCACCTCCAGTTGCAGTCTATTCCAGACCTTGGGGGCTTGGACAGGAAAAAAGTTCTTCCTTATGTCCAGCCTGAAATGGTCATGGAGGAGTTTGTGACCATTCGATCTAGTCATCCCTTGGGGCACTTCGGTGAACAGACATTCCCCCAGATCCTGGTGAGCAGCCCTGATAAACTTAAGATTCTTATTTGGCTGGCTAGAAAGGAAGCCCCCACGGCACTAACAAAAGGACTGTCAGACTGAAGGATCAGGGGTTAAGCTCCAAGGGGACACCCCCACGCCTCATCGCATACAGCAAAGACTATTATTTTAGTGCGACCTCAGGGCTGCCATCACTTACGTGGACTGGGAAGCATTCTCCTCAAACCAGCGAGCATGCCTGATAGCAGCCAGGGCACTCTGCAGCACTTTGATATCCACTGAAAGAGGATCCAGAAAGACAAGGTTTAGGCAGTCGGAACTTTTGAAGACAACCAGCCACCCAGGAGGGTCACTGATAGGGCAGGGGGGACAGAGTTAGCACAGGCATCAGTACAGACAAACCACACACACACACACACGTAGCCAGGCGTTATGAGACATCTTACAATGCAACTCTGGGTCCAGTTTGCGGAGGTTGGGTGGCACAGTTGTAATAAGGATCTTCACTGTAGCATCAGCTGAGCTAATCTCAAAACCAGTTTCGTTGGTTAGCATGGTCAGGACTGAGGGAACAAAAAACACCACAGCTACTTCAGTGGGGTGGGAGCAGGGACACTACCGACCCCCACAGGCAACCCCAGGACACAGAGTAAAAGGGGAGTGGATGATGCCAGACTCAGCTGTGGGGCTGCAGCACTAAGCTGAAGTCTCTTCCGCGACATCAGATTTGTCCTGAAAGTAGTAGTCCTGGCCAGAGGGACTGGATCTGTCCCTGTTTACTAGGAACAGGCATGTCACTCCACTACTTGTTCTACTCATCTCCATCCCCACTGCCCACAGCAAAGGGTCCAACCTTCAGTAGGATCCTGGGCTCTTAGACTTTCCACCACTTTGTTTCCCAAGGCAGCAACTGCTTCCACTAGAGACGGAAAGAGAAAAAAAAATGAAGTGAGGCATTGGAGTGGTTCTGACTGCCGCGCCCGATCAGGAGCAGAGGACACTTACAGGTAGGCAGGATTTTCAGGATCACCACCAAATCAGCTACGTTGTGCCCTGTTGTCATGGTACCCTTCTTGTAGGATCCCACCTGGCGGACTTCTTCAATTTGCTGTTTCAAGAGAACAAGCCAAAAGTTAATACAAGCCAAGAGCACGCAACTCAACTTCACAGCCTCCCTTGAGAGGGAGCCTCTAAGGGCAGGAGCAAAGAAACCAACACTGTAAAACTGATCTGCCTCATCAGGACAAGGAGACACCCAACCAGACTAAGGCGGCCTCTGAAGAGCTGCACCAACCCTGCAGACCTGGCACATCTAGGCAGACAAGACTGACTCACCACTTCAAAAGTTCCTGGCGCCACTATCAAGTTGTCAATCACGTTGTTTATTTTAGTCACCAGAGACAGGATGGATGCCTGAAAAATAAGAGAGCACGCGGTGATGGCAGCAGCAAGTGACCGTTTCAACTAAAGCTGCGATACAAATGCAAGCCTTTGTCTCAAAGGCTGGGAAATTATGGGATTTGGATAATCCTGAGACTTGTCTGTTCCTCTGCATGTCAGAAAAAACAGATTTAAAACCACTTTCCAAGCAACATAGCCCTTTTCCATCCTACAGCAGGCTGGAATTAGCACCCAGCCATGGTTCTGTCCCTTGGTCAAGTCGAGAGACATGTAAAGCTAGGTCTCCCTTTGCAGGAAGATCATTTCTGGTGTTTGTTACAAAAGAGTCTACACTGAATTAAGAGTAACCTAGCACCAGTCTGAGTTCAGGAAAGTTTTCCATAGGAAGCACTTGGGAAGCAAGCTTTATTAACCTGCTCGGCTGCAGTTGGAGCCAGATCCTGGTTTCTCTTCAGCAAGGCTTCACTGAATGCCGTCTCATCAGCTGCAGGCTTCACGCGAGGGAAGGCCATCTCACACTGCAACAGGAGCAAACGTTAAAGCAGCAGCCCCACAGTGATACAAGATCTTTGGTGCAGCACTTAAGAAGAAAACAAGCTTATCCTAGTTTTCCTCTCCACTTTCCCTAGTAGCTTCCAAATACATTTTCTTGCTTACAGCCTTTTGGACATGGCAGCCAAGCTGCACATTCCATTTCTACTAGGTTCAGTGGAGTAAAAAGAACTTCCCTTCCTACCCACATCTTTACCAAGGCTCCAGCATCAGGAGCAGGTCTCTGAAAACTGCACCTTAGTTATCAGAACCTGCAGCAAGGCATTTGTACATGCTCTGCACAGAAGCTTTTTTAGTTTACAAGCAACAAAATGACATAGAGAGGTAGGACTTAAAAGGTAGATCTCTAATGACGGATCCAGCTGAGTACTAAAAGGCAGTAAAGCATCTGAGACCTATTAGATGACATACTGAATTTCCTAATGAGACCCTATAGATACTCAAACCTCTTGAATAGTTGCAATGGGAACAGAGATCCTGGCCTTGTAAGGCAAGGAAATGGTTAACCCATTTTCCCTGAGAAAGCCACACCTGTGTGTCCCTAAACCAGACAGGCTCAATGAAGGAAGGAAATGAGCTCCTCCTCTTCCTCCTCTATAAGAAGACAGAGAAGAAAGTCATTCCTGTTTAGTCCACACAGAAATCAAGACCTGGAGGAAGGTCAGACTCTACTGCTCTGGGAACCTGGCTAAGGTAATGCACACTTTGGGCTACTAGCTGCAGATCTGGGAGAGGATTTTCATTTCCCGTTCCACTCTTTAACAGTGGGATAGGTTGTGATGCATGTTAGTGATAAACACCAAGGCTTTCCATACTACACGTCTTCAATCCTCTGTCAAACGCTGCATGGACACTGCCTCAAAGACCTACTTGCCTCCCGCTCACCTGAGCAGGCCAAGAATCAGATGTACGTTTTTGGTTTTGAAACTCACTATTTCCTATGGCCCTACAGGATGTTCTACTATTATGTTCCCTAGCTTAAAAGAAACAAGCAACTTTTTTTACTTCAACAAAGTGTTATTTCCACTACAACCCTGCTGCTGTTTTATACAGCTGGCACCAAGCGCTGCGAGAGGTTACTTACCACATAGAAGTCAAAGGGAATGTGTGGCACGAAGGGCCTGAATCTAAAAGGAAAAAGTGGGAGAAAATGGAGGTGAGTTCTCATTATATGCAAAGGACAGGAATATCCCCCACCCACCCCCCAGGGACAAACTTTTGAGAAGCTTTAAAATGGGTGACTAGATGCGTCCCTCCCCATAGGAACCTAGGTTGGAGGAAAATCAGAACTGCCCTTGACTGGGTCAGACCACAGGCCAGGTCCAAGCTGCGCAGCCTCCCGTCAGAGGGGCAGAGAGCGGAGCTGGAAGGGAGCGCGAGCTGCATCTGACCAGCGTTTTTACCGCTGCTCCCTCGCATGCAGCCTTCAGCACTGGAGATCTAGGAAGCTTCGCTTCTCACAGAGGTTTAGGGCAGGAACAAGCTAGAGGCTGTCGGCCCCGCGGGGCCCCCCACAGCAGCCCCTCAAAGGGAGGCAACGCTCCC